TGTATTCTGCAAAGAATGACAACCACCGCGCCATTCGTTGTGAAAGGTGCGGGCTGTTCACTGCCGTGCGTAATGACGCATGGTCAGTGTAAACAACGAAGGGTCTATCTCCTAATAGATAGACTCTGAACTTCGCGAGTGCATACTTCATGGCAAGGAGTTCCTTGTCATGCACTGGATAGTTCCGCTCAGCTGGTTGCAGCTGACGCGACAGATAGCAGACGACGCGTTCAACGCCTTCAAGATCGTACTGCATTAATGCACAGCCGATTGCGAAATCGCTGGCATCACAGACCACATGAAATGGCCTGTCCTGATCGGCTATTGCTAGGACTGGGGATTGTATCAAGCTCTGCTTGATACCCTCAAAGAAGCGTTGACATTCAGCGTTCCATAACCACCTCTCGTTCTTTTTCAACAAACGAGAGAGGTGCACAGTCATCTCGGCGTAATTGCGTGAATACTTATGCAAATACGCCGCTAGCCCAAGGAATTTTCGAAGACCTTTGACATCGACCGGCACAGGCCAGTCGGTGATCGCCTTGATCTTTTCGGGATCAGGACGTACACCGTTCTTCCCAACGATGCACCTAAGAAGTGGTATTTCGCTTGCTGCAAATATACACTTCTTGAGGTTTGCATACAATTGATGCTTTCGCATGATTGTAAGAACCTGTCGGACGTGGTATCTGTGAACCTCAACGTCCGACCTTCCATTCATAGCTCGACTATGGATGAATACGTCATCGAAAGAACTCGGCGCGAATTCTCGTACTGGTCTCAACAGATGTGATACACATCTGTTGAACGTGGCAGGGGCATTACTGAGCTCTTGTGGTATTACTAGCCATTCCCAGAGCATGCCGCTAGGCGTGCTAACTGCGGTATAGGGTATATCCCGTTCCCACATAAGGATTTTATAGAAGCCATCCATCAAATCCATGGACGAAAAGATGGTACTCTTTGGCATACCATCAATGATTTCGTCCTTCCTCGGTATCGGCGTCTGAGCCGGTACCGTTGCAGCGTTCAATTTGTTAAATGCATGCAAAATCCGCCACCCTCCTGTTGCTTTTCGCACACAGAAGGTTGGAGAGCTATGTGGGGAAGTTGATTCCCTCACATGGCCCGCAGCTAAACGATCGGCAAAGAACTTGTCGATCGCAAGTACTTGTTCACGAGGCAGTGGCCACTGCTTCATGACACAGTACTTCGAGCCTGGTTTAAGCTCGACTTCGTGTCGAATACCTTTATCCTTCGGTAATTCGCACGGAACAGTTTCAGGGAATACATCCTTGAATTCAACCAAATCTTCATAGAGAGGATTTGTCTTGAGCGATTCCCATGATTGGGAGTCATATCGCTCAATTCGTGTCTTTTCATCTAGGACACTCTCGTCCATAGATGAGCTACTGAGAACTCTCTCGCTCTCAGTAAATACTGTTGCTGACCTTATGTCGGCTACACACTCGTTGTCAGCGACGAGTACGCAGATCTGCTTGACTTTGCCACTACGCAGATCACGCAAGAACCTTTATGTTCGAGCGTTGGCAACTGAGTGATCTCCGAAGTTAACTTCGGAGGCGCAATCAAAGCAAGTGTACAAGCGCCTACGCTTGATCCGTTATTGACTATGACATTCAATGTCTCTGCATTTCCTGGGGACTTATTCCCTCAGGCCTCGAATGACTTATTCCTTCGGCTTCCCGGGGATTTATTTCCGCGGGTTTCGGGGAACTTACTTCCGCCGTATTTGTAATCTTGGGACTTATTCCCTTTACTTTCTCTAGCTGGGGTTGCGCAACCACAGCGAGATCCTCTTCGAAAGACTCTCCAGTCGATCTAGGGTTACCGTTGCGCTTAACCTGAGCGATCGATTGTTTCTCTTCTAGATGTTCCCCGCTAGGGATACATCTTTGTCCGGGTCCACTCGACTTATTCGAGTGGTGGACCTTCGGCGCAGCCTGTGTTTCCTCATAGCCGCCGGAACTTTGCTCCGAAGTGTAACCGTTTGGTACACTAAGGTTTTGTGCAGTCGTACTAACGACCGTACCACAAGTGAGGCCATCGCACTCACTCGTAGTACATCCACACGCTTGTGGACGCTCCAAAACGCTCATCAGATGGCCATCTGATGAACAAGCGACAGGCATCGTTACTGTTCCATGTTGCCAGTTTACCCGTGGTTCGTACCTTCTGAGCCACGGTATTCCAAGGATGACATCAAATTTGTCATCCAAATCCAATACGATAAAGTCATCGTCATATTGGGTATCTTCTAGCGTATAGTGGATCTTCACTATACGTTTCATGACGGTTACGGATGCGCCTGTCGTAAGACGTACCGTCATCCTCGTAGGAGGTGTGTCACATTCACTGAACTTAAAATGACTATCTTCTAGCGATTGGCTTTCGCACAAAATTGTTGGACGCCCCACAATCGACTAGAGCTCGAAGGGACAACTTGTTCGTCACTTCGAGTTTCAAGGTAATGAGTGAGATCTCATTACCTAGAGCAGCAACGCACAACGTTTGTGTGTTGGGAGCAACCTTCATCAAGAGGCCTACAAATTCTCTTGACGTTGCTAGACCAGTAGGGTGCTCCGCACCTACTGATCCTGTCCATTTTTTGACGGTCCATCCCGTTGTTGCGTCTTTGCACCAACTGCGGACCCTCGTCCCTGCCCCTTTCTCATGGGTGGACGGTCACTACGCCCAGTGTCGCGAGACACTGGACGAGGGGCACTACACTCGTAAGCGTAGTGTCCTGTCTTTTGACATCTGTTGCATCTCTGCAACTTCTTGTAGCCTGTAGAGCGAGCCTTCTCGCTCTCTACATAACAGAGTTCCATCGGCTCTGGACCTCCGTTGTCATATCGTCTCGGTTGACGATATGATGTCGAGCTGGCGCGAGCCTGTCTCAGACTGAAGTCTTCCTGTTCCGCAATGGAAATGGCTTGTTCTAGTGAATCTAGTTCAAGCCGGAACAGGTGAGTCTTGACGGGACCATCCGCAAGACCCTGCATGAACACCGAAACCAACGTGTGTTCATCCACCGGATTGGAACTTATACAACTCGTGAGATGTCGTATACGTTGCGCGTAAGCGTGCACATCACGCTTACCCTGCTTGAGCTTCAAGAGTTCGGTTCGAGCCCTGAACTCAGCTCTAGGCGGTTCAAACGTTTGTCTGAGCCGCGACTTGAAGACTTCTAACGACTCAAACGCATATGGGTCGTGCAACTTGAGCCCCAGTGCCCAAGTCTTGGCACGTCCTGCCAGATTTGACTAGGCAAATGCAACTTGCATATCCCCGTCGTCGATGCGACGCGCCCTTATGGCGTCATCCAATTCGACGAACCATCTCAAGAGGGAGTCTTCTTCGACCCCCCTATACTTGGAGATGTCAATCTTCAAAGTCTCGGGTCGACGCGAGTGCATCGACCCACCAGCAGCAGCCTGGTGCTGTCTCAACAGTTCAAACTGTTGAACACCCTGTTCTCTCAACAACTCTGATTGCTGAGAACCTTGTTGGTGAAGCAAGGCTACTTTCTCGCGTTCAGCGTGAAGTTCATTTTGAATGAACTTGGCGATAGTAGCATGTTGGGCATCTCTATTGAGAGCCTCTAGCATGACGCTAACAGCATGGATGCCCATGGTCGAACCCATTCGTTCAACCGCATCCCATTAGACATTGCTCAAATGGGAGTAGCCGTCACGCGTAGCGTGAAAGCTTTGGTCATCTTCATCATCCAACATGTTCATGTTGGATGTGAACATGGTCCTTGGACGGACTACGAAGTGCTACCAGGTGTAACGGGGCACCCTGAAGCTTGTACTGGTGACAGTACAAGCTACTTATTCTGATGACAGAATAAGGCGGTGCCTCGTAACTTCACGTACACTCGTACGTGCAGAGGAAGACGGTAAGAAGAAGCGAGTACTTGGTTAAAGTAAAAAGTAGAACTGAATTTATCATAGTTAATGTCTGCAATAAATCACTCTTTATCTTCATCTAACTATGTCTAAATACAAATGTGTAAATCAGTTATCTGCTCACCACTCATTGCGTGCGTCTGTCGTGGCGCGTCTTCGTTGGTTGATATAATGGCCTATATCAACCAATTAGGAACTACTTGCAAGTGCTACAGAACATTTGTCCTTATGACAATATTCTGAGAATATGACTCTAATAGTTATATTCTATTAACAATTTTCATAAATTGTTATGTAACGATTTACCCCGTTACAGAGGAGGTGACAAGAGTGGCGTGCTATCCCCAATCGGCATGGAATACGAAATGCGATTGATTAGCAGCAGTAGCCACGATCAAAAGGACACATTTTTACCAAGGTTCGTTCGTCCCCAGTAAACGGTATAAGCTCAGGATCAACATCCTGACTTCATGTAACGGGTGAAATGTTACATGACCAATTACAAGAAATTTTTAATAGATTATAACTATTAGAGTTGTATTCTCAGAATGTTGTCATAAGGACAAATATTCTGTAGCACTTACAAGTAGTTCCTAATTGGTTGATATAGGTCATTGTATCAACCAACGAAGACACGCCACGACAGACGCACGCAATGAGTGGTGAGCAGATAACTGATTTACACATTTGTATTTAGACATAGTTAGATGAAGATAAAGAGTGATTTATTGCAGACATTAACTATGATAAATACAGTTCTACTTTTTACTTTAACCAAGTACTCGCTTCTTCTTACCGTCTTCCTCTGCACGTACGAGTGTACGTGAAGTTACGAGGCACCGCCTTATTCTGTCATCAGAATAAGTAGCTTGTACTGTTACCAGTACAAGCTTCAGGGCGCCCCGTTACACCTGGTAGCACTTCGTAGTCCGTCCAAGGACCGCGTTCACTCCCAACATGAACATGTTAGATGAGGAAGATGACCAAAGCTTTCACGCTACGCGTGACGGCTACTCCCATTTGAGCAATGTCTAATGGGATGCGGTTGAACGAATGGGTTCGACCATGGGCATCCATGCTGTTAGCGTCATGCTAGAGGCTCTCAATAGAGATGCCCAACATGCTACTATCGCCAAGTTCATTCAAAATGAACTTCACGCTGAACGCGAGAAAGTAGCCTTGCTTCACCAACAAGGTTCTCAACAAGCAGAGTTGTTGAGAGAACAGGGTGTTCAACAGTTTGAACTGTTGAGACAGCACCAGGCTGCTGCTGGTGGGTCGATGCACTCGCGTCGACCCGAGACTTTGAAGATTGACATCTCCAAGTATAGGGGGGTCGAAGAAGACTCCCTCTTGAGATGGTTCGTCGAATTGGATGACGCCATAAGGGCGCGTCGCATCGACGACGGGGATATGCAAGTTGCATTTGCCTAGTCAAATCTGGCAGGACGTGCCAAGACTTGGGCACTGGGGCTCAAGTTGCACGACCCATATGCGTTTGAGTCGTTAGAAGTCTTCAAGTCGCGGCTCAGACAAACGTTTGAACCGCCTAGAGCTGAGTTCAGGGCTCGAACCGAACTCTTGAAGCTCAAGCAGGGTAAGCGTGATGTGCACGCTTACGCTCAACGTATACGACATCTCACGAGTTGTATAAGTTCCAATCCGGTGGATGAACACACGTTGGTTTCGGTGTTCATGCAGGGTCTTGCGGATGGTCCTGTCAAGACTCAACTGTTCCGACTTGAACGAGATTCACTAGAACAAGCCATTTTGATTGCGGAACAGGAAGACTTCAGTCTGAGACAGGCTCGCGCCAGCTCGACATCATATCGTCAACCGAGACGATATGACAACGGAGGTCCAGAGCCGATGGAACTCTGTTATGTAGAGAGCGAGAAGGCTCGCTCTACAGGCTACAAGAAGTTGCAGAGATGCAACAGATGTCAAAAGACAGGACACTACGCTTACGAGTGTAGTGCCCCTCGTCCAGTGTCTCGCGACACTGGGCGTAGTGACCGTCCACCCATGAGAAAGGGGCAGGGACGAGGGTCCGCTGTTGGTGCAAAGACGCAACAACGGGATGGACCGTCAAAAAATGGACAGGATCAGTAGGTGCGGAGCACCCTACTGGTCTAGCAACGTCAAGAGAATTTGTAGGCCTCTTGATGAAGGTTGCTCCCAACACACAAACGTTGTGCGTTGCTGCTCTAGGTAATGAGATCTCACTCATTACCTTGAAACTCGAAGTGACGAATAAGTTGTCCCTTCGAGCTCTAGTCGATTGTGGGGCGTCCAACAATTTTGTGCGAAAGCCAATCGCTAGAAGATAGTCATTTTAAGTTCAGTGAATGTGACACACCTCCTACGAGGATGACGGTACGTCTTACGACAGGCGCATCCGTAACCGTCATGAAACGTATAGTGAAGATCCACTATACGCTAGAAGATACCCAATATGACGATGACTTTATCGTATTGGATTTGGATGACAAATTTGATGTCATCCTTGGAATACCGTGGCTCAGAAGGTACGAACCACGGGTAAACTGGCAACATGGAACAGTAACGATGCCTGTCGCTTGTTCATCAGATGGCCATCTGATGAGCGTTTTGGAGCGTCCACAAGCGTGTGGATGTACTAAGAGTGAGTGCGATGGCCTCACTTGTGGTACGGTCGTTAGTACGACTGCACAAAACCTTAGTGTACCAAACGGTTACACTTCGGAGCAAAGTTCCGGCGGCTATGAGGAAACACAGGCTGCGCCGAAGGTCCACCACTCGAATAAGTCGAGTGGACCCGGACAAAGATGTATCCCTAGCGGGGAACATCTAGAAGAGAAACAATCGATCGCTCAGGTTAAGCAATCCTAGATCGACTGGAGAGTCTTTCGTAGAGGATCTCGCTGTGGTTGCTCAACCCCAGCTAGAGAAAGTAAAGGGAATAAGTCCCAAGATTACAAATACGGCGGAAGTAAGTTCCCCGAAACCCGCGGGAATAAATCCCCGGGAAGCCGAAGGAATAAGTCATTCGAGGCCTGAGGGAATAAGTCCCCAGGAAATGCAGAGACATTGAATGTCATAGTCAATAACGGATCAAGCGTAGGCGCTTGTACACTTGCTTTGATTGCGCCTCCGAAGTTAACTTCGGAGATCACTCAGTTGCCAACGCTCGAACATAAAGGTTCTTGCGTGATCTGCGTAGTGGCAAAGTCAAGCAGATCTGCGTACTCGTCGCTGACAACGAGTGTGTAGCCGACATAAGGTCAGCAACAATGTTCACTGAGAACGAGAGAGTTCTCAGTAGCTCATCTATGGACGAGAGTGTCCTAGATGAAAAGACACGAATTGAGCGATATGAGTCCCAATCATGGGAATCGCTCAAGAAAAATCCTCTCTATGAAGATTTGGTTGAATTCAAGGATGTATTCCTTGAAACTGTTCCGTGCGAATTACCGAAGGATAAAGGTATTCGACACGAAGTCGAGCTTAAACCAGGCTCGAAGTACTGTGTCATGAAGCAGTGGCCACTGCCTCGTGAACAAGTACTTGCGATCGACAAGTTCTTTGCCGATCGTTTAGCAGCGGGCCATGTGAGGGAATCAACTTCCCCACATAGCTCTCCAACCTTCTGTGTGCGAAAAGCAACAGGAGGGTGGCGGATTTTGCATGCATTTAACAAATTGAACGCTGCAACGGTACCGGCTCAGACGCCGATACCGAGGAAGGACGTAATCATTGATGGTATGTCAAAGAGTACCATCTTTTTGTCCATGGATTTGATGGATGGCTTCTATAAAATCCTTATGCGAGAACGGGGTATACCCTATACCGCAGTTAGCACGCCTAGCGGCATGCTCTGGGAATGGCTAGTAATGCCACAAGGGCTTATAAATGCCCCTGCCACGCTCAACAGATGTGTATCACATCTGTTGAGACCAGTACGAGAATTCGCGCCGAGTTCTTTCGATGACGTATTCATCCATAGTCGGGCTATGGATGGAAAGTCGGACGTTGAGGTTCACAGGTACCACGTCCGACAGGTTCTTACAATCATGCGAAAGCATCAATTGTATGCAAACCTCAAGAAGTGTATATTTGCAGCAAGCGAAATGCCACTTCTTAGGTGCATCGTTGGGAAGAACGGTGTACGTCCTGATCCCGAAAAGATCAAGGCGATCACCGACTGGCCTGTGCCGGTCGATGTCAAAGGTCTTCGAAAATTCCTTGGGCTAGCGGCGTATTTGCATAAGTATTCACGCAATTACGCCGAGATGACTGTGCACCTCTCTCGTTTGTTGAAAAAGAACGAGAGGTGGTTATGGAACGCTGAATGTCAACGCTTCTTTGAGGGTATCAAGCAGAGCTTGATACAATCCCCAGTCCTAGCAATAGCCGATCAGGACAGGCCATTTCATGTGGTCTGTGGTGCCAGCGATTTCGCAATCGGCTGTGCATTAATGCAGTACGGTCTTGAAGGCGTTGAACGCGTCGTCTGCTATCAGTCGCGTCAGCTGCAACCAGCTGAGCGGAACTATCCAGTGCATGACAAGGAACTCCTTGCCATGAAGTGTGCACTCGCGAAGTTCAGAGTCTATCTATTAGGAGATAGACCCTTCGTTGTTTACATTGACCATGCGTCATTACGCACGGCAGTGAACAGCCCGCACCTTTCACAACGAATGGCGCGGTGGTTGTCATTCTTTGCAGAATACAACTTTACGGTCGAGTACAAACCAGGACGACTTAATGTCGTCGCTGATGCACTCTCACGTCGTCCCGACTTTAAACCAGTCGTGAAACCCAACAGTGAGACAGTCACTGTTGCGGTTATGACGTCCTCAGTCCCATCTACAACGTTGTATGATGATGTGAGGCGGGCATACGCCCAAGATGGTGAGATAGTGAAGTTGTTGTCACATCTCTCCCAACCATCTCGAGAATCGTTGAAACGATTGTCGTCTGCGTATCGATCTGCATCAGATCGATATACTACTCGTAACGGTTTACTGTATTATACAGCCGTTTCTGGTGACACACCACGTGTTGTCATTCCAGATGATACTGATCTGCGTTTGCGGATCATGTTCGAGTATCACGATGCTCCTATAGGAGGACATCGTGGCCGAGAGAAAACATATCTCACGGTAAGTCGAGACTTTTACTGGCCCCGCCAGTATCAGTTTGTGCGAAAGTATGTTTGCGCATGCGAAGTCTGTCAACGAGTGAAGTCAAGTCCTTCACTGCGTACACCTTTACAGCTTCTACCAGTTCCGGCTGAGTGCTGAGAATCCATCTCAATGGATTTCGTCTTCGGGTTACCCAAAGACGCACGCGAGAATACGGGTATTCTCGTATTCGTTGACAGATTCAGCAAAATGGTACACCTTGTGGCTGTGCCAGAGTCAATCACGGCAAGTGGCTGTGCTTGTGTCTTTATTGACACCACCTTCCGACTTCATGGGTTGCCCCGTGAACTCGACTCAGACAGAGATCCACGATTCACTGCTGATTTCTGGCGTTCCGTGTTCAAATCACTCGGAACGCGCTTGAAGATGTCGACATCTGATCATACAGAGTCAGATGGTCAGACGGAACGTGCTAATCGTGTCCTCGAAGAGATACTTCGAGGATACGTACACTCCTTTAAGAGTTGGAGCGAGTTTTTGCCAATGGTAGAGTTTGCCATTAACAACTCGGTGCATGCGTCCACGACACATACACCGTTTTACGTGAATGGCTTACGCCATCCGCGTGTACCCACCTTACTAGAGTGTAACTCTGGTTTGGGGGGGGAGAGACTCGCGCGAGCAAAAACCGATTTGGTTCACGCTCATCACGCTCTGACGAAGAAGTCATTGCGTTTGATGCCGATATCGACAACATCGATATCGAAGAAGATGATGCCAGTGAGAGTGCGGAAGCCCTCACTGACGAAAAGATTGATGTTGCTGCAGTGCACTCACAGCGCACTGAAGCTAACGAGTCATCAGATGAGTTCACACTGGCTCGTGAAACGGTAGTCCGTTTTGTGCAAGACTCCATCGCCGAAGCGGTGGACAAGCAGAAGCAAAACGCAGACAAGAATGGAAGGGCAAACACTCTTTCATTTAATAAAGGTGACTTAGTCCTACTGTCTAAGGTTAATCTACCAAAGCATGTAGTGACTAACTTGGGTAGCAGTAAACTACTACCCAAGTACATCGGCCCATTTCGTGTATTGCATCGCCTTGGTAAAGAGTGCACGATCGAACTGCCACGTAAGATGCGAACGCATCCCACGTTTTACGTTGGTCGGCTTAAGCCGTACCATCAGTACGCTGTTTCTTCTGATGTAGAACGCCCTTGCGCTCAAGCATCTCACAGAGAGCCTTGTGCTCCCGATGGTGGGAATCAACAAGGGTCTGAAGAGCAGTTGTCTCAGCCCGAGACCGGTCAATATTCCCACAAGCTACCCTAAGCTCGTCACGAAGAGATGTCAGAGATCTCTCGTTCTCGATCTGAGCAAAGGCAAACTCAGCTCGATGCTTCGAGGCAGTGTCCGCCATTTGGAGACGCCTATTCCGCTCATGTTCGAGATCGTTGCGTAACCCTTGCGTTACGCGATCAAAGAAGCTCTCGGTAACACACGCTTCCCCACGATCGTGTGGAGAGCGTCTTTCCTCCTCCTCCACCTCCATTAGAGGACTCTCGCGGTGGCCAGCGCTATCTAGTTGAGCAGCTGTTGAACCACCGCGACGTGAACGGACGTCGGACGAGTTATCTCATCTGGTGGCGCGGCTATCCCCCGTCCTGGGATTCTTGGGAGCCCCGCTCCCAACTGATGATCGACGTACTGGGTCTGGTCGAGCAGTACGATGCGGCACATCCTGTGCCGCAGAAGGACCACCGGAGAAAGTCTTCCCGGCACGGTCGTAAAGGGATTTCAGGTTGTCAATCCCTTCGTACATCTCAGTAGAGACACGTACGCGCCACCACGGGCTGGTAAGGAGGTAAGCCTCCTTAGGTGCTCGTGCAGAGTTGTTCATACAACATGGGCACGAGTCTCCCCAAGAGAGGCAGGGTAATCCTTTCTCCCTTGACAGACGATGCAGCTTATAGCGCGCACCAGTCGG